CTGTGGTTCCAGTTAATTCTCTCTCTTCTGCACAAACCTCAACCACACAGTTTTTACTTTATTAATCCCCGTGCCGGTCAAACTTGGCAAAGTTATTAGGGACGGAGGGAGTACTACGTATGTATATGAATATTGATTAATAGTTAACTGTTAAATTCAATCACAAACTACTTCTCAAGTTTCTAACACAAAAAATCACAATTCACACCACAACTTTATGATCAGAATGTGCAAAATGTACAGTACGTTTCAAGAATTTATGGTCAGACGCGTCTGACCAGATAAGTTCTCTACATATACTATAAAAATATCTTAAATTTTGGGCCCCTAAAATTGTAACATTTTTGGGGCCCTGAGGCCCATGCCTCACCCGCCTCAAAGGAAGCACGGCTCTGGGTTTGACGCATTTTTTAAATCACAGAGGGCTAATGCGTCGATTTTATATTTCACGAGGGGGTTTGGTGCATTAAAAGGGAAACAAGATTATCATTTTGGAACAGATGGAGTACAAAATTACTACTATTATAAATATTTAAATTATACTTTTAACTAGTATTGACATTGATATTATTATTATGTATGACTACTTAGACCATTATGATTTACTACGTATTAAAAAAATAAAAAAAAATATTGCAAATAACAATTCTTTTAATTTTTTCATATTTTTCTAAATTTATCAATAAATAGTTTTAACTTAAACTGTGTTAAGAATATTTTTCTGAAAAAAATAAACATGTTTAACCTCAATCTGCGAGTAGCCTAGTAAGTAAGAAAATAATGGAGGCAAGAAAGGAAAAGGACTGCAAGTAATTTAGGGAAGAAAAATAAATTGGTAGTTTAGGAATATTGAAGAAAGGTCAAACCTAAAAGTTATAATACCTCCGTCCCCCAAACAAGTTTCCTCTTTCCTTTTTGGGTAGTCCCTGAATTAAGTTTACCTTTCCTTATTTGGTAAATTATCTACATCAAAACAGTGCCAAACAGTGCCAAACAGTGTCCAAACAGTAAAATTTACCTCCCGATAATTTTTTTTCTTAATATGTGTGACAAGCAATGGTGAACTTCTTTTGAAGACGGAGGAAGTATTTCTAAGCTATTTGAGATAAAGGTCATTTAACCAAACACATCAGCGGATCAATCTAGTGAAAAAACCAAATCATGATCAAAACAGCCCATGATTGGCTGGTCCGCAACTAACCGAACACCACCTCTATTTTTTATTGGGTACATTAATGTAACAACCATGCTAGGGGTACATAAGTTGTATACAACTTGTACACAAAATGTCGGTCACAGACAATTGGTACGGAATTGTCTGTGGTCACAGACAAGAGTTGTCTGTGTACACAAACAACTTTTGTCTATGTCCACAGACATTTACTTTTTTTGTAAAAAGTACGTTGACAGCCGCCTGACACTTACATTAGCTTGCAAATCAATCAATATATGTGCAGTGCCTGTGTGCACAGACAATATTTTCATGTTGCACAGACAACTTTTAACACACGGACAATAGTTGTGTGTTCCACAGACAATAGTTATTTGTGTGATCAACTTGAGTTGTCTGTGTGATCAATTATAATTGTCTGGGTGAACAAAAAACTCAATTTTCTATATACATACAAATGAAGGATGTAGTTGTATGTGTAATCAATTTACATTAATTTGAATAAAATTAGAAACATAATTAAAATATATGAAGTAAGATGAATAAGTTGATTTTGTGCAAATAATGAAAAAAAATGATAAATAAAGGTAGAGAAAAAGAGGATGAAGAAGGAAAGAGGAGGATGAAGAAGATAATTTTTTTTTTGTTGAGAATTTTAGAAGAGATTGGGTAAAGAGGAAAGAGAGAAGTGGGAGAGGAAGAAGAGAGAAGGAACTCAAGGAAGAAAGAACCGAGAGAGGGAGAAGAGGGAGGAGGAAATGAGATTTTTTTTTGCTTTTATATCATGTACAACTTGTGTACATGTGTGTATACTTGGCATTTTCCTTAATGTAATGCTGGAATCATATTACCATATTTCATTGAAAGAATTACGCTCATTTACAGAAAAAATATTTAGAAAATTTACATTCATAGCAATTAGTGAAAGGAAAATGTGCATGTACCACACAAATACACAATGGACGCTGAGTGGCTTCCGAGAAACTAGCTTATTCAATTTCTAATTTGTATGATAACTTTTCTGTAATTTTACATTTAATTTCAATCACATCCGTATCAATTCGTTGGATATTTTGAGACATGTTTTTAAAGATCATATTTGGTGGGTAGGCATGAAATATATTCAACGTGATTGGAAGCATCTTAATGAAGATTTGGAGGAAGCTGCATGAACTTAATTAATCAGTGGGTGGTTCAAGGGACAATTATAAATGCTGTGCAATATAATGTTTTCTGTATCTCTGTTTCATTTTATTTATATTTTTGTTGGTAATTAAAACTTAGGCAAACATGAAGTAGCTAGCATGTAATGTAAGCTCTTGAATATTTGGTGGGTAAGGCATGAATATTTTTGTTGGTAAGGTCTGCAAATAGGTTCTTAGATTTGAATTCTGATTGCTCAGAGTCATTGCTAAAGTGTAGTGATCATTATGTATACTACGTATTAAGGGAAAAGGTGCAAATAGGCCATTATGTAGTGATCATAGTCATTATGTACTAACAAAAAAAGGTCAAATAAGCCCTTATTTAGGAGGCTCTGTCCGACCGTCGTCATTTGAGGTGGTTCCCAGTGGAATTTTTTGATGAAATTTTTTGAGCATCTTATTCATCAAATCTAGTTTACTCATACCAAATTTCAGCTAAAACTTCAATCGGGAAGTCATTCAAATGAATTCTTGAAAATAACTGCGCAGTTATCTTCAGAACCGACTTGTGAACCGCATGCAGCACGGGTACCTGCCTTTCCTCCCGTGTACCTGAATAAATAACCCCCCCCCCCCCCCCCCCTCGCCGCCGCCGCCTTCACCCACTAATCCGCTCTTCCCTGTCAGCAAACCAGCCACTACCCTCGCCCTCCAAACCGCCGCTTCCCTAGTTCCAAACCAATCACCGCTCGAACCGACCAATCCAAACTTGCCCCTCGAAGAAATCGAGGGCGGACGAAGCTAGGCGTTGCGTGAGGCAACTCCAGTGAGAGAATTTCCTCAGTCAATTTTAGTGTTAAAAAGTAAGTTCCTAATTTTTTTATTTTATGTATTTTATTTTATTATAAATATAGAGATGAGAGTTTTCAGTAAGGGTAATTTTGTCCGATCAAGTTTTTTTAGTTCTATTAAACGTGAGACTTTTTTTAGAATACATGAGACTCTCATTTGTGAACTCGGGCGTGGAATGCATTGTTTACTCTTAACATCTCATTTGTGAACTCGAGGAATGCATTTTTTACTCTTAACATCAGAAACTTCTCTATAATTAATTGCTAGTACAACTTCCTATTATTCATAATCATCCCGCGTGAGTAAATTATTCCGATTCAAATGATCATCATATAATATGTTACTTCTCGTATTAAATTGAACTTTTAGATTGAAACTTCAATTGTTAAAATGGTGGCATCTCCCGACTCAGGCAGTCAGGCTAATAAAGAGTGGGGGTGGGATTTTAAAACTAGGAACCGTAGAACCGATTGAAACCGAACCGTTAACAACATCTAGGAACCGAACCGTTAACAATTAATACCTCATTTGTAGGAACCGAACCGAAGCGGGTTATAACGGTTCGGTTCCCGGTTCCTATAAAAAATATGTGCATGGAACCGATAAGGAACCGTTATTAAAAAAAAATATTAGTAGTAGTATTAACAACAACAATAATAATAATAATAATAATAATAATAATAATAATAATAATTACGTAGTATAATAATACAATAGCAATACTAACCACCACCACAACAATAATAATAAAACAATATAAGATATTTAACTAACAATTCTAATTTAATCAACGAAAACGAAGTAATAAATATTGTACATGAGGTTGATATAATACATTAAAATCCTTTCTACAAATCAAGTTTTGTTCCATCACATAAATTTTATAAATATAAAATAACCCAAATAATGTGTAGTTGATTGCACATATTCTACTTTACTATTTTCATGATATTTCTAATTATTCGGTTTATTATGAATCAATGGAATGTAATAATGTTTTTTTTATATCTATACATGCGAACTCAATGTATTTTTTATGTTTATAAAGACTTGAACTAGGCGTCTTATTCTTACTACTATGATGACGAGTAACCTTCATCGCTCTCACACTACAACGATTTTTATATTTTATTTTTTACATGAAAATTTAAATCATTTTTTGTGCTATTAAGTGTTCACAGCTCATTAGTTAAGTTTGATCTTTGATGTTTGAAGTGATTAAAGCTTCAAATAAAATTTGAAGCTTTAATTTTGAATTTTCGATGTGTTTATGTTGATTGTAGAAAGTAAATTATGTTTTAATTCTTAGATGAGAAAAAATTATTCTACGAACCGGTAAAAAGAAGAACCGAACCGTTTACTACCGGTTCAGTTTCATAACGGTTCTTGATTTTTTATATAGGAATCGAACCGATTTCATTAGTTAAAACTTTTATAACGGTTGCACTCATTTGAGTAAGAATCGAACCGGTCTCAGCCCTAATATATCCTTATATAAAAGGAAAAGAATTACGGGCATATGTTTGCCGCCTAAAAGTGTCAACATCAGGTGTTCCTTATTTACTCGGTCAAAGTAAGTTCCTTCAGTAACGTATTTTTACCGTATGCGTTCGGTCCTCCTATACTAATTATTTTTACAAGACTATTTCCTATTGGGCAAAATGGAGGTGCGTTTTTTAAGGGGTTCTATTGGTTCAAAAAGGCAGTGACTACTGTTCACCTAAATTCGATTGGCTAGAATGGGTGGGAAAACAGTGAACGGTATGTTCCTGCTGGGGCCGGAATGGGTGGTCAACAAATTGCTGCTGCCTCCACTCGCCAACAAATTGTCAATAACATTCACATTTTCGTCTTGAGTCATGTTGGTTGGAGTTGATATAGGCATGAATTGAAATGGTTGCGTTGTAGGTTGCATGGATGGTGGACCTTGCACATTATTAAAACCCGGAAACATCGTCGGGTAGTAGGCCGGAGGTTGAGAAGAAGCTTGTGGGGTACCTCCAAAAGCGCTAGGGACCATTGTTGGAACTTGTTGAGAGAAATTGGATGTATTTTGTTGAGGACCGGATGAACCATTTTGGGGAAAAGTATAGTGATTTTGGGGAGGAAAAAAAGTTGTATTTGTTGAGGAAACATGGGAGGCATTTGTGGTTGAGTACCGGAAGTAGATTGACCATACCCATGATAGAGAAACGGAATAATCCATGGACCCATATTTGCTTGCATGGCCGCTAGTTCTCTTAACTCCTTCACTTCTTTCCTCAAGGCCTTCATCTCCTCCTTAATAGATTCACTATTGGGGTCACTTTGTATGGAGGCACAATGTGTGGATTTCAAAGAGCCGGTACGCAAATATTCGGGGCCAAGAGCCCCCCAACCAATTCAGAACTACTTTTTTGTAGCAGTAGAAACCGTGTACACGGCCTTGTTTAGCTTCTCAGTGTAATCTGTTGCAACTCCAATCCCAGGACGATCACAATACAACGCTACATCTTTCCTAGCCTTCAAATTGTCTTTTGTCCTATCTTTTTCGTTCATTAGAGTATAAAATAAATTGTCAAACACATTCTTCTCAATGTGCATGACATCAAAATTATGTCTAACTAATAAACTTCCCCAATAAGGCAGTTGCCAGAAAATGCTCCTCTTTATCCTTTTGTGATTGACTTCATACCCTTGTGGTAGTTCATTAGGCTCCTGAACTGTTGTCACTATCATACGTACACGTTCAAATATTTGTTGTCTGGTTAACCTGGGGGGAGGAGGACTACTTTCATGTTTTCCTTTTATAAAAGAATGAATGTCCCTTCGATAAGGGTGCTTGCGTGGTAAGAACTTTCTATGACAGTCAAAGTAACATGCCTTACGTCCATTCTTAAGGTACATTGCATTGTTACCTTCCATACAAATAGGCACCCCAAGAGACCTGCTGTACTCCAATCGGACAACATCTTGTATGCGGGAAAGTCGCTTATCGTCCACATTAAAATGGCACGCATTGTGATCATGGTATTTGACGCAACGTCATATGTCACTGAACCCTCTTCCCACAAATGGTGCAATTCATCAACAAAGGATTGTTAGTAAACATCAATTTTCTTTTTTGGACATATTGGCCCCGGAATAATAAGCGACAAAAACATGTAGGGATATTTCATACACATACCGGGAGGCAGATTGTACGTCGTTAGGATGACGGGCCAACAAGAGTATGATGCACCATATTTTCCATGTGCAACAAAACCATCCGAGCATAAATCAAGTCGTACATTTCGAGGCTCCGAGGCGAAGTCCGGATACATCATGTCAATGTGTTTCCATGCCTCACTATCACAAGGGTGGCCCATCAAATTCCCTATTTCTTCATGCATTGCGTGCCACTTCATCTCTTCAGCTGTTTGTCGTGAAGCATATAACCTCTGCAGTCTTGGTGTCAAGGGAAGAAATCTCAATACAGAAAAAGCCGTCCAATTTCTTCTTTTGGATGTGCATTGTTCGTCATCCTGCAACTTATATCGATGCTCACCACAAAATGAACAATTTTTTAACTCTTTATCACCCTTCAAAAATAGCATACACCCATTACGACAAGCATCAATATTTATCACCGGAAGACCCAAGTTGGAAGTAAGTTTTTTGGTCTCATAGTAATTCTGTGGGGTGGTGTGGTCACGAGGTAAGTATCGTCCGAATAATTCCAACCACCGATTTACTTCGTCCCTAGGCACATTAAAGTCAGATTTAATACTCATTGCCTCAGCGACAAATTGTAATTGTGAGCCTTCTTGACATCCCTCATATAAAGGTTGATCTGCTGCTTGTAGAACATTGTGAAATTGGTCTGCCAAATAACAAACATCATTTACATTTGGAGAAACATTATTATATTCATGACCTGTGGCTTGTGGAACACAGTTTGTGGTGTCCACCGGTGGCACATATCCAGCAAAAAAATCTCCAAGCATTCTTTGATCCCAAGGTGTTTCAGGTTGAGTCCCAGAAACTGAAGAAATATGGGCAACATGACTTTCATCTCCTTGAGATGAAGAAATTTGGTTCTCCCGTAATGGCGGTGCTTGAAATTGCAATAGCTCACCATGAGATGTCCAAATATAATAATTTGCAAGAAATCCATGTCGAAAAAGATGAAGTTTGACGGTTTCGATATCATAGAAACACCAATTTTTACACTTTTGACATGGACAACGAATGTTTTCTTCACTCATAAATTCATGTTGAACTCTAGCAAATTCAACAAAACTCTTCATACCACTGATAAATCTATCAAAGACATTTTTTGTAAATAGATTGTATCTTTCATACATCCAATTTCTATCTGTATGAAACATTTTTTAGACTTCTCTAGCTGGGATGTGTTTTGTTTCAGAGTAGTCGTATGCATTCTATAAACGAAGATGTGAAGAAGAACATGAAAACGATGGGGTAGCGACGGAACTTGAAGACCAGATCGTAATGCGACGGTACAGCGACGGTGGAGCAACGGATTATTTTTTTTTAAATTTGCGACGGTTTATGAGACGGTTTAGCGACGATTCTGTCGCAAATTGGTCGCTAATACCGTCATAGATTAGCGACGGTTTTTGCCGTGATTTTCCGTAGCTATTCGGCTGTTATTTTGTAGTGGCGGCCCAGCCATCACGACTTGCAAGCTCTTGGAACCAGATGAACTTGTTTCTTGACATTTGTACATTACTCATTAGTCATTAAGGTTAGCGTAGTAGAAGCCTATAAGGTTATAGTGGGATTGAGAAATTGAGCTTTTATTTTTGTATTTTTGTATTTGTAACCAACTAAAGTATTAATTTTGGGCTTCAAAATTGAAATGGATTTTTACAATATACGTAGTATTAGAATTAAAAATAATTGCTGAGTAGGGAGTCGGTACGGTATTATACCGGTATACCGGTATATCGAAAATGACGGTATATCAATATTTCGGTATTTTCCGGTATTTTTCGGTACGGTAAATGCGGTATACCGATTTTTCGGTATTTTTGCCCACTCCTACGTCCATATGGTATACTCAAGTGTATCATATAATTTGCGGTATAACTTCCGACTCATGTCCGCTGACACACTAATTGAATCCTTGAAACAATGAGGTCCAAAAATACATGCACAATTTATGCTTAAATTAAACAAGATCATCGTGGGTTACCCAAAACTCCACAAGGCCACAAGTCTAGGACTGTTTTAAAAGCTCTAAAGTACTGAGTACAACGGCTGAAAGATAGTATCAACGAGGGATCCCAAAGATATAATATATCGATATAGAACTCGAATGGTTCGAATCTGTCAATCTAAGGCTTAGAATATCATGAGTCTTATATTTTGAAAAAAAAAATAATAAATGCTATTAAATCTGAATAGACTTTTGTGAAAACAAAATCATAAAAAAATTAAAATGGAATTAATAAAAATTAAACAAATCAAACTCTATGGTATTTTAGGCATTAGATTGATAATTTTCAATATTCGGGTCCTCTACTTCTTTACTAACATTTTATTTTTCTGATCTCTTATTGATAGTGAATCTATCTTTCAATTAATGAATTGATAAAATTATCATAGCATTATTCATGTAATTAAAACTCTCTTTTAACCAATTATTATATCTAATAAATTGTTATCATAAGTGAATTCCATTTTGTTGTTTACAATAAGCGCACAAATTTCAATTAAAAATGCTACCACTTGTTTGCTATAAGTGGTTTGGGTGAAATATTGTGGAATTGAAATGGGTGAAATATCAAAGTATGAATTTGACCACACAATTATGATATTACATGATAATTGTGTAATATCAAAGTAGACAAATTAATTTTGTGGGTGAAATATTGTGGAAGTCACACTTTAGTATCGAGATTGAATTGTCAACTCACACTTTTGTTTAATTTAAAGAAAAAAAGGAAAACACTCCATTGTTGAGGCCCTCTTACACCGACTGGACATTTAGATGAGGGAATATAAATTGGACTTTAATCACAAGCTGGCAGGATAGAGAGTGTGGCTCTGACCCTGGTCACTTGCAGGGTCCGTATGCATTTGTAGGCATAGTAACCTCTCATCATAGTTGCCGGGATTTGAACCCGAGATTTACCCCTTGTGACACCCCTATCTATGAGTTGAGCTGCGCCCACTGCTTTTGTTTTTCAATTTGTTTTTTTGAACTAAGGGGATTAATGATAAACACGAGCGAGGATGATTTTACAAAAAAGTTTGACCATGGGAATTTCTCAATTAATCTGTCAATCTAAGGCTTAGAGTATCATGAGTCTTATATTTTTTAAAAAAATAATAAATGCTATTAAATCTGAATAGACTTTTGTGAAAACAAAATCATAAAAAAATTAAAATGGAATTAATAAAAATTAAACAAATCAAACTCTATGGTATTTTAGGCATTAGATTGATAATTTTCAATATTCGGGTCCTCTACTTCTTTACTTACATTTTATTTTTCTGATCTCTTATTGATAGTGAATCTATCTTTCAATTAATGAATTGATAAAATTATCATAGCATTATTCATGTAATTAAAACTCTCTTTTAACCAATTATTATATCTAATAAATTGTTATCATAAGTGAATTCCATTTTGTTGTTTACAATAAGCGCACAAATTTCAATTAAAAATGCTACCACTTATTTGCTATAAGTGGTTTGGGTGAAATATTGTGGAATTGAAATGGGTGAAATATCAAAGTATGAATTTGAACACACAATTATGATATTACATAATTGTAATAACCAATTACATATACGAATTGAAATGGTCTTCGTTAGGTTTGGGTTTAAGGAAAATAATTAAGGAATGCAACTTCTCTAATTGCATGTTACTCTAGTGGTTAGACAGATTAAAAGCTAATTAATAATCTTAAAGAGGCCTTTTATGGATTTGCTGCCTGCCTCAATATTTCAAGCAAGGCATTGAGAATATATGGTCAGTGCTGCAATTAATTTTCCTAATAGTGTTTTTGTTTGTAAGATGAGCAGATTGGTTCCTCTCCTTTTACCTCGCGGACCAACTTTCTGAGTATTCCTCTAGCAGAAATGCAGAAATGCGAAATTGTTGTTTTGAGTTTTTAACTTATTTGAGTTGCTCCTTACCGTGGTGGTTACAAATTTTTACTCGGTTGGATTGATAGAAAAGTTTTTTTATCAAATAATAATATATCACTAAAAATACCTATTATTCTCGGTCAAGAAAAATGCCTTTAACATAAAATAGTGCAATTATATAGGATGATTAAAAGGGTTGCTCTTACATTAACACGGGGATTACTAAGCTTTCTTTGAGCACACATTTTGTGTAAAGTTATAGTAAGAAGTATTTCTCGCATACTAATTTGATAGTAGTATAAAATACTAAATTCTTTCATAAAATCATGAATTACTCCACTTATTTTGAGATCCTCTTTTTTTTGGATGAAATGTAAATATATATTAATACCCAAACAAAAATAACATGTACAATGTGTCCACAAAGCAAAAGCCTCTCACCCTCTCCCATTTCAAAGGAAAAGGAGAGGGTGAAAAAAGGCTAATCATCTAGTCTAAGTCCAAACGGCCACTAGGCATGCGGCCGGTGATTCAAAAAACAGTCAAAACAATGAATGGCGCTACAAGGAGCACGCGCAATAATCCAATCAATAGCCTATGCAGTGGTATCCAAAACTTGACTCCACGTCAAAACTTTATCAAGTCATGCGGGTAGATACTAAAGAGTATCTTTTAGACCACGTGCTTGATCTTAGCAACCACATCTTCTTCAGTCTTTTTGCCTTCATCAAATCTTGTCTCATTCCTTGCTTGCCAAATATAATAAGTCGTGGCACAGAAGGCAAGCCTCCCTGCCTTGGCTTTCACCGTTGCTCCTTTGCGCGTCTTGGAAATCCATTTGATTGCACTAAGAAGCGTGGTCATCTGATGCCCAACACCAATCCATGCCCGAACCCTTTCCCATACCCTGCACGTAAAGGGGCAAAGGAAGAACAGGTGTGGAATTGTTTCCAATCCACCCTTGCACAGATCACATCTATTAACTATATAAAGGTAACTGAGACTATCCTGCGTAGGAAGCCGGTTCCTCAAAGCCAACCATACATTAAATGAAAATTTAGGCGGGATGTAGGATTTCCAAATGAAGCTCATCGGGGTTCTAGGGGTCCCTTTTACTCTAAGGAGTTCATACACTTTCCCCGACACTAATTTGTCATTAAGGCATCGCGCATTAAGACCCATTAGTGTATCATTCAAGTTGTTAAAGCACCTACGAATTTTGTCCCGGATTAGACCCAATTTCTTCATAAGTTGTGAGCCCCGGCCGTTTGAGATCCTCTTATTTTGAGATGTAAAAGGGTGTCTTAGTAGGTGTATTTATTTTACCATGGTGCTCCGCATAATCTTGAATCATTGGTACAAAAGGGAAATACGTAGAAATTAACCTAAGGAATTGAACATGTGTGATTTTTGAACCTAAAGTTTCCAAAATGCCAAAGTATTTGAAATTCAGAATTGATGGATCAACAACCCCCACCCATCCCACCCTCACCCCACCCTCACCCCACACCCACCCAAACCTACTACCCCACCCACCCGAATAAGGAACTTGCTATAATTGAGATTATTTGACTTTATATTACATGATTAGATGAATTTAACCATACAAGTTATTCACCTCTAAATCTCCATTCCTGCCCATTATTTCCCTAGTACAGCCAAGATCAATAATTTATCATACTTAGATTCTTTTTTTTCTCTGACTCAGTACAATAATCCATTTTGACTTTTAGCTTGAGGGAATTTTTTTCTTGAGTTTGTTAGCAGACCAAATTTAAGAGCATTTTGGCTGCAGAGTAACATCCAGTCTGGAGTGAATGGTGCCAGAAGTCATTTCCTAATTCACACTGACCTTTTGCTCCACACTCCACTAGATACCTAAGGAGTAAATAATTGGTAAAATAATTGGTTTCTAATTTCACATACCCTTGCAACATCCCTTTCCTCCCCCATAACGCCCTGTTAATGGAAAAGAAATTGAAAGTATAAAGGAAACAAAAATGCTTAGTCCGTACAATAATTGATATTCAATAATTTATACGTTTATGAGATAATTATGATACTTAGCACATGCTTCAGCCGATAGTGAATAGTTGTAATCAATTTTTCGGCTCGGCGGTAGCTTTATCGTTCGATTATGTACAATGTTTTTGAGATTGTGATCACATGTGGGAGTATATCATATTTTCAATTGGACCCAAATTTTCTAATTTGTTTTAATTTCATTCAGTATATTTAACGATATATTTAAGTCTGATCTGATATATTCTTTTTTGTGTATCTAATGTGATCCGGCATTGAAATCATCCTTTCAAAAACATCCTAAATCATATTCTACCCTTTTAATTCTACAAAATTTATATCAGAGGGATAGAGCTGGTGTTGCTGTCGCTCCCTTATATACTCCTATATTTGATAACATTATATCCTAATTTTTGTTACCACTTCCGCTTATGTGAGTGACCATTTTTCAGTCACAGTCTCTTTTTATTATAATTCCTCAAAAGAAAAACTCTTTCAGTTATTAATTTAATGTGTAACTTTTTGTCAAATTCAAATACAATTTTTACCATATTCAATCATTTTTTTGTTAGCAAAAAATCGGTTATCGATCATATGCTCTGTATAATTTTTAATTGGGTTTCAATTACCATCAAAAGAGAAAATGGGTTTTTAATTTTTTAATTGAATATCTCAAATATAAATTTTAACATATGTTTTTAATTATTTGAGAAATAAGTAATACCCGAGTATATATTTAAAATTTAAAAGAACGAATAATAAACGAGTTAAATTAGTACATTCTCGAACTTATAATCATGTATGTTAAGTACATTTAAATGAGAACATGTAACAAGTGAGCATTGTTGTAGCCCAATGGTTCTAGCCGTAATTCCAAGTTGAAAAGTCGTGGATTAAGCTCCCGCTAGGATTAATGTTTTTATACTAGCGAATAATGTTATTGTTTCGCTAGTGTTAATGTATATTAAATAATACATCAAAATTTGATGACATGAAATGACTAACAAATGACTTGACATAGGTAATGTGGCGTGTGGTGGCATTGCGGGTTAGGTGACATGGGAAAAAATGCCTTGAGAAATAAATTTAAAAATACTCTATTTTGGGGGGAGTTTTAGAACTATGAAAAATAATGCTTTGTAAGCGTAAAGATTGGATGCAGTGAAATGGTACCTTTATGTATATAATTAATTTTTTACAATAGAAAAAGTATACTAAAATCAACCAAACGCCAGGCTTAGACGACTGCCGTGAGCCGTCGAACTTCATGAACCACCATCATACTCCGATCAAAGACGACTACTTCTTGTGAATATTGAGAGGGCAAAATTTTCATTATATCTTTTACTGCTTATAAATATTTAGACGTAGGTATATATTACAAAAAAATCTTTGGGGGGCCGTCCCGGCTCCAGCCAGGGGCGGATGCACACTATTGATAAGGGGGCAGCTGCCCCCAATAAACTCTCCATAACTCCATATATTATATTAGGAAATTTTTTAGCCCACTTAATTGCCCCCAATAAAAATAACTAAATGCCTCCAGCCCCATGTATCTAATCCACCCAGCTCTAAAAATAAAATACTCCGTAACTCAATGGCAAAATTACTTCGTAGACTTCAACTTTTGTTAACCGCTAAAACAGGGAATTCTAAATCGTGCATTAAATATGAGTATTAACTCGCATTCTAAATTGTACTTCAGCTCCTCGGCAAAGCAATAGTGCAGGTTACTCACGTTTTCTTTTAACTCCATTAAGTACGGAGTATTAACTAAATAACTACGTAGTAGATGAGTAATTAATTTAAGCATTTGATTATTGATTATTGATTTTTTGTATAATTTTTACTACGTATGTGTTAAAGTGTTACCATGCCAAATTGAAATGAGACAACCATTATGGAACGGAGGTAGTAAGTTGATTACAGCTTAATTTCTAAAACAGAATTGAATGAGTCATATTTTGGGATACAATAATGATAGTCTTGTTTGTGAATTTTATCATTGTTTTATTCCTATTTAGTCTTATTTAGGATTTTATCGTGTTATTGTGTATTTGTGGTAAACTATTAAAATTAGTAGGAGGAGAGATATTGAAAGTTCATCAATATCCACTTGATAAAGAGACAAAAGAGAACATTAGTTATAAAAAACTTAAGGGAAAATTCCCGAAATAGGACTAAAATCGTTTGGAAATTCCAAAATAGGACTGTCAACTTTTTATTCTCTAAATATGATAATTACCGTCAAGTTTGGAAAACATTGTCATGTTTAAATTCTGCTACTGCTAAAAAATGACATTAATGACATTGTCATGTTTTTATTGAAAACATGATAGTCATATTTTGAAATATACAAACATTTTTAGCCCTATTTAAGGTAATTTCCCATAAGCTAATTAAGTTATTTTATCAGATTTTATGGACATTTTTTTGAGAAAAACACCATCTTCAACATTGGAATAAGATCTATTTGGAACTGTCATAAATAAAACTATATATATTAGATCTCTTAACATTTTCTCTCTTTGTTCTGCCCCCAACACTTCCGTTTCCTGGATCCGCCACTGGCTCCAGCCCCTCCCAATTCCATCACTAGTCACTACCACCACCGGCCTACGGCCAACGACTAGAAACTTGCGACCGGTGACCGTCGATGGCCTAAACATGTGAAATAATGAAAATAGTTTTGAGAAACATGCTTTGACTTCCATCTAGGAATTTTTTTGGCAAGTTTGGGGGTCAAATGCATAAATGATACCTTAACTATTTGTAATGTTGCACTTTTGTACCTTAACTCTTAAATGAATCAAAATGATACCTTAACTTTACATAAATGTTTCGAATTAATATTTTATTCAAATTTTCGACCAAAAAATCACACGTGACGGCTAGAATTCTATGCATAAAATCTACTTCACCTTACTTTTTGTCCATATGATCACTATAGAGTGACTCTACACATGAAATTTTGATCGTCATGAAGAATATTTTGGTCGAAAATTTGAATAAAATATCAATTCGAAACATTTATGTATAGTTAAGGTACCGTTTTGATTCATTTAAGAGTTAAGGTACCAAACTGCACCATTACTAATAGGTAAGGTTGCATTTACGCATTTGACCCGCAAGTTTGGGTTTAGGAAGTTTTTGAGGGAGTGAAAGAGACTGGGGGAGGGCATATATGCATGTGAGTATTGGATGAAGTGGAACATGGAAATCAGCAAATGGGAGAGGCACAGACAACAGGTCTCTTCGTTGAACTCTAAATGAGTTTCCTAATATATGTCCTCTGCTACTATATCTTCCCCACCATGTGGTCCACGTGTACCTTTCTTCCACACATTAATGTAATGTGATATACCATCTCGGAAAAACTCGTTTTGGATACAGTCCTTCACGCGGTTATTGTCTGGAATTGTACATTTCAAACACTACAAAATCAGAGTATCACCCGTGATAACAGTAAGCCATATCTGATTGATTAAGGTATCATTTTAAATTATTGATGAGATAAAACGATTAGAAACTATGAAATCCTACATATAATCTTCATTTGTCCCTTACTGATCCTCTACTTAATTAGAATTGGAGGAATTATTTTGTTTAAATTATGTAGTATGGTTCAGGCTCTCACTTGCCTAAATAAGAGTTGACCATACCACATACAGAAAAAAGACATTCGTTTGGGTTACGAAATGTCGAGTTTGGGAAATGTCTAGTGTGGATCGATCTCTTGGTGAACATTGGTGATCAATTAGGAGTTAAGAATGTTTTTCATTGAAGTAGTTTCATTGATCGACCAAACTTCAACCGAACCGATTAATGAAGACTTGGAAATTGGAATCGACCGTCGTAAAATACACAGAACAGATCAATCTAGATTAGAGTGTCAGACCAAATCGAATCAGATCAGAACAGGCTAAATCATAAAATTCCAGTCTAATTTAAACAATCCAAATTGATCAAAATACCAAACTTATTTCTTGCCCACCTAAGATCTTCACAATTGCATTCAAATGATTAGGTATATACGTAGTATATTACTAAAATCAGAGCATTTAAGCTCACGTAATTAGCATGTTCTAGATCTAGTTTTTACTATACATTATTCAATCATCATAGGAGCATATACTTAGAGATAGTTTGGTAACCTTGTTTTTCATATTTTCAGACTTATCGGTCAAAAATTTCAACAAACACATCTTACACGCGATATTTTATTTCACGCGCTAAATTGTGTAATAATAAGAAAGAGTAAGGTCGAAATTAATATTTTTGCTGTATTGGCTGAAGTTACAGTAGAGAATCATTTTAGCTATTCTCAATTAATTTTTTATTTATTTTATTCATAATTTTTTTCCAATAAAGCAGCATTATCAACAACTTCAACCAGAACTTCTTAAATTTCAAAATAATTCGCCGATTCAGCCAATTTCAGTGTTATCAAACGGGCTCTTAGACACTATCATTCTTACTCGATCACGGTTATGGGAAAAGTTCGAATGAGCTCTTTTCTTAAATCACTTGGTGAACCACCTAATGTCAACGGGTGCGGTTTTCTCGTAAATATCACCACTCACCAACTCAGGGGTGTTTGGATCTGATTCTTAAAACTGCTTCTGCTCCCTTGGAGTGTTTGGGTGAAAGTGCATAAGTGATTCTAGTGCTCTAATTTACTCATAGAATCATTTTTTTAGAAGTTGGGGGAGACCAGCTTATGAAAACTGATTCTGATTCTGCTTCTGCTTTTAAAAAAGAAGCAGAAGCAGAATTAGTTCCAAACACCCACTTAGTATGTTTTTAGTTGGACTGAGTTTTTTTAGTCTGATCTGATCAGATCTGATTTCATTTGTTTTGTTCTGGTTTTGTCTGGTCTAGTGTGGTAAATGTATGTTCTATGTACAATTTAAAAATGTCAAAAAGTATGGTTTCGTCTGTTTAAGTATAGTTTTTTGTACTGAAACTAGTCCAATTAAAAACTCTCTTATATATGAGAGTAAAATATAAAGCAACAGACCAAAGTGATTGAGCCCTCAACGCTATTTTTTTGTTTGTTGATTATTTTCATATGGTCTCATTAAAAGCAATAGTGGTATCCCAATTTAGCTACCTACTCCGTATTAGATAGTATTAGAAAAGTATTTGTGATCTTTCTAAAAATTACCAATGAAGGAACTATGAATGTAAATGAGCATTTACAAATTGGGATGACCAGCTTTGAGAACACAAAGATGTTGGTGCAAAGCTCATATAGTTATAATAACAATAATTACTCGCAAGTCGCAACATTGAAACCTCTGTTCTAAAAATCGTTATAGGCGCCCGACTAGTCCCCGCCTAGGCGCTAGGCGGTGGCCGGGCGCCACAATTTTCGTCTAGGCGCTCCGACTAATTGGTTTGCCATCTAGATAGGTGAATTAGTCGGACACCTATGACGCCTAGTTGCGCGCCTAGAGCGCCTAATCGGCCACCTAGGCCTTCTAGATTCGCGGAACATTACTTTACTTTTTAATTTTAATTTTTCAAACGATATATGTACTTTAACTTTAGCCATGGATATAAAGAAATGGAGTTGTAAATTAAGATAAAACTATACATGTTTGTAAACATACCTAAATTATATCATCATTTATATTTATAACATAATGAAGTTAATTGTTTAGTTATCGTATACTATGTATGATTAAATGTGATAATTGTATCTTCCATGTTTGTTAATGTATATGTATATGTGTATTTTATACACACAAATATACAATATTACTTATCATATTTATGCAAAAATATAGATAAAAATATAATTTCTATGTCTCCGACTTGTCCCCAACCAGGCTCCCGCCTAGCCACCTAGGCGCTAGGCGCTGGACTGGCGCCCGACTAGCGCCTAGCGCCTTTTAGAATATTGATTGAAACTTATATGAAAAATATCTTCATCATGTATTACCAAAAAAATTGTCATGATTTTACTTGTTTATATATATATTTATTATTCCTTATTATTTTGTTTCATTATATAGAATCATTAAAATCTTGCTCATGTATATATAGGAACACTAGCATTTTGTACGCGCAAGGCGCGAGAGCTAATGCCCAACGCGGACTGAATGAAATACTACTCCTCTCGGTCCAAATTGATTTGTAAATTCGTCATTTTTTTGTCAACCAATGTTAAAGTTAAAATCTCCTATTAATGATTAATTAAATTTTTAATAACTAAAATTTTCATATTCAGAAAGTAAATTATAATCTCTTCGAAGTTGCAATGCACTACAAAAAACCACGCGTTTAGTCACGGATTTTAGTCACGAATACGGTCCGTGACTACTTAGTCACGGTTGTACTCACGGACTAGTCACGGATTGTTAAAAATAAAGTTAGTCACGGATTTGGCCGTGACTAAATCCGTGACTAAACGTAGTCACGGCTTTAGTCCGTGACTAAGGTTCTCCAGTGACCGAACTTCCTTCTCCGGTTGATTTTAGTTTACTCCGGCACTTAGTCACGGACTTATCCGTGACTAATGCCGTGACTATAATGAAAATTTATTTTTCCAACGGTCCTTATTTAATTCGGACTGTTAATTTGTACGGAAAACGTTAGTCACGGACTAATCCGTGACTAAATCCGTGACTAACTTTTTTATATATGGATGCCCAGACTCATTCAGTTGAATCACACCAACTCATTCCTAATATATATAATACAGCACTACTAGAAAAAGCACGTTTTGCAACGGAACCGTGCAACGGACTTGTACCTGTTGCAATAATGCAATTAAAACTGCAACGAAATATGACGTAGTTGCAATATAGCAATGAATATTGCAACAGAAAATAAATTTATTGCAAATGTGGCCGAGAAAGAGAGGGAAAATATATTACAATAGATTTTGCAATGGAAAAATAATACTGTTGCAATAATTGCAAGAGAAATTGCAATGCCATATCACTTTGTTGCATACTTATAGATTTGCAACAGATTTGCAACAGATAAACCGACCATTGCAAATACTCCCCTGCAATGAGTTTGTACCGCAACGGTAATTTGCAATGGAGTCAATTCCGTTGCGATTTATTTTTGAAAAAAATATTAACTCTCTTTTAATTTCAACTTTATTGGCTGTATTGACTGAAGTTTCTATAGAGAATCATTTATTTAAAAAAATCATTTGATTAAGAAAAAATTCATTAATTAGTATTTGTTTTAAAATGCGGTAGAAAAAATATTACTTAGAATGTTTTTACTTGAAATGTAATTTGTCCCAGACAAAACTAGTCCAGATCAGTTCAGATCAGACCAGATCAGACCAGACTTGGATAGTTATAAAAATACAAAGTGCCCAGACATTACCAGACCAGTTCACACCAGACCAGACCAGACCAACAAATTACAGTTCAAGTAAAAACATCCTTAGTAATTATTTGTGACTATAAGTGTTTCAAGTATAGTCATTAATAGTTACTAAATAATATTTTTGTCAATGACTTGTTTATTCGAAATATAGGGAAAAACCCATTTTATTAATAATATGTATATTTCAAATATAGTTTTTACATCAATCAGCAGAATTAGTCAATTCGGTCACTATAGCCAGAACTTTTATAAGTTTCAGCACCAACTCAACATTGATAAAATAAAATAAATTAAGTACATAAGAAAAAAGATTAAGAGCTCATTTGGTGGCTCTGTTTTTCGGTTTTTCAAGCTTATTAGCCAACTTTTAACCAAATACATAACTTTTAATTTTGCGTGCTGAATTTTGTAGTAATAAGAAAAAGTAAGGTTGAAATTTCTTTTCTGGCTGTATTGGCTGAAGTTATTATTGATGACCATTTTAGCTATTTTTTTCATATAATTTCTTCTTTATCTTATTAATAAAATATAATTCCAAATAATTTTATTCATAAATTAGCACAATCAGCCACATCAACCAGAGCTTCATAAATATTAGCAGAATTAGTCAATCAATTTCGGTGTTACCAAACCAGTTCTAATGTTCCTAGTTAATTGAACTTTTATTGTTTAAAAAATCTCAATAAGAGAGTAGCGGGCCTCTAAAAAAAAGAGTAGCGGGAAGTGAAATATACTACCGCCAAATCTCAAACTTTCCAAAATTTTGCCGGAGCCCTAGTTAGTGTATCCAGTCTACTTTGGACTCCAACCAAAACTTGTTTGCCGCACTTCTTCTCTGCGCTTCTCCTTCTCTGCATCAAGCGGCGTTTTTGGGATTTCACTGCAAACCAGGTTCTCTTCTCCGCAGCCCTCGGATTCACGCTATCAAGTAAGCTTTTCTTCTCTGTTTGAGTTAATCTGTTATACGATGTATGCTTGAAGTTTTTCTTCTGGGCCTGGTGCAATAAAGGTGAGGAGACTTCTGGACTTGTTAATTATGGATGTAATTGTTTTATATTACTTTTGATTTGGTTAATTAGAAACTTGTGCTGTAACAAAATATAATTTTTGTTTGGACAACTTGGTGCTTGTGGTTTTCTTGATAAGATTCTGATTTCCTTTCTTGCACTCATGGTGTTTGTTAAAATGCTTGTGAGGAATTAACTTGCAGTTTGGTTCCTTTTTTTTTAGCCACAATGAAATATCCAAGTTGAAGTAGTACATACTGTATTACTCAGATCGTTGCAAACAGGATTAATAAGGGTGTATTTGAAGAGTGGTCAACACTTCAAAGCATTTGTTTTATCTTTGGTTCCTTTTTGAATTTTTAAAGCATTTTTTTCCGTTTTATATGCATCTAGTATGTTTAGCTTTCTTGAGTCTACTTTAAGCATTAATATAACTATACATCTATTTAGAAGTTAGGATTACATCTTTGCATATAATCTAAGTTGGTTTTTTACAACTTACTAATTTGCTACTTGAATTAATTTTTATGATATACTTTATTTGTAACTTATTTTATTCACTAACTTATTTGCATAATTTTTAATATATCACAAATTGAGTTTTAATATATCACTTTTCAAAATTTTTTATTTAGAAAAGTGATCACACTTTTTAGATGAAAATAAACGCATAGTAGCCTAATATTTCTTGATACGCCAGTGACTTTAAGGATAAAATATTGTACTTTCTCTCATTTTGTAGTTTATTTTGTGTTGAATGTACTGCAACTTCATAGTTAACATGGGTTAATTAACTCGCCTTTTTCATATACAAATTGTGTAATACATATTGACAGCTTGAGGAGCAAAGTGAATCTAGATTCCATTAACAGCTCAATCAAAGAATAGAGAAGTGCATAACGGTATGTGCTTTCTGTGGGGCACCGTGATGCTTACTATTTCTATGGGGCACCCTGATGCTTAGATGTTGTGGTGGGGGCACCCTGATGCTTAGTTTTTGTGATGAGGGCACCCTGATGCTTACTTTTTGTCATGGGGGCACCTTGATGCTATATCATGATTTTTATATTTGTTGTTCGGGTTTTATTTGAAAAAATGGATTTATTACATTTTGTTATAGTCACAAAAAAATGGTCACATAATAAAACTACAATAAAAACTCGTTTAGCCCATTTGAGTCTCCATTATCAATTAAACATATGTTTTTAAAATAATAATTTGGTTATGTGATTACATAGATACAAGATTATGAGTTTTACAAATAGAAACTGGATGTATCAAAGGAAAGATGAAGGTGGGTATCTTACTCAAGTATTCATCAAAGGAGTTGATATATTTGTTAACTTTGCAAAGAGTAAGCCAGACTTCATGGATGGAAACAAAATTAGGTGTCCATGCACAAAATGTCATAATCGGCAGTACCAAGAAGTTGACACCTTGAAATTACACTTGGTGAAACACGGCTTTGTTCCAAATTATTATTTTTGGAATAGACAAGGTGAAACATTGAGTGATAATAGTCCAACTAGGGATCATGCTTTCGAGAATCAAAACTTTGGTTTTGAAGATATGCCCTCATGTTCCTATCGGCAAATGGTCATGGATGCGGCTGGTCCAGACTTTATCCCAACAAGGATTATGGATGAAGAGCCAAATGCAGAAGATAAAAAATTCTTTGACATGCTAGAAGCTACACAGAAGACTGCTCCTTTTAGATACACCCTAGATACAAGACATCTATGGATTCGTCTAAGCAATTGCGCGTACCTAACAAGCGAATGCATTATTTGCCACTAACTCCAAGGCTAAAAAGACTCTATGCTTCACAGAAGACTGCTCCTTTTATGAGATGGCATGATGAGGAGCATGGCCATGATATAGGAGAAATGTGTCATCCTTCTGATTCTGAAGCTTGGAGGGATTTCAATGTTAGTCATCCTTCTTTTGCAGCTGAAAATCGTAATGTTAGGTTGGGTTTATGTACAGATGGATTTCAACCCTTTGGACAATCTGGACAACAATATTCTTGTTGGCCTATCATGGTTACACCTTATAATTTGCCTCCATCAATGTGTATGAAGGATCCTTATATGTTTCTGAGTGTAATAGTTCCTGGACCCGATAATCCTAAACATAAGTTGGATGTCTTTCTTCAACCTCTTATTGCCGAGCTAAAGAATTTATGGGAAGAAGGCGTTCTTACATATGATGTGTCTTTGAAGCAAAATTTTCAAATGAGAGCAGCTTTGTTGTGGACGATAAGTGATTTTCCTGCATATTCTATGCTTTCGGGTTGGGGAACATCTGGGAGAACTGCGTGTCCTCACTGTATGGAACATTCTCAAGCATTTTATCTTCCTAATGGAAAGAAAATGTCTTGGTTTGACAATCATAGAAAGTTCCTTCCCCTTGATCATTCATTTCGACGAAATAAAAGTAAGTTCACAAGAAATCGTGTTGAAATGGGGCCTCCACCTCCTATTAAGAGTGGAAGCCAAATTTTGCAAGAAATTGACGAATTCGGATTGCTGAATGTTATAGAAGATGATGCTGAGGAAGTCAACAAGGAATGTAGTAATATTTGTGGATGGAGAAAACGAAGCATCTTTTGGGATTTGCCCTATTGGAAAACTAATGTCATTCGACATAATCTTGATATCATGCATATTGAGAAAAATTTCTTTGAGAATGTGTTCAACACTGTAATGAATATAAAGGGAAAGACAAAAGATAATGTGCAGGCAAGGGAGGATATGAAACTCTTTTGTAATAGAAAGGAGTTACAAAAAAATCCTCTTACAGATAAGTACCCTAAGGCATGTTATTCATTAGACAATGATCAAAAGAAGGTCATATGCGAATGGGTGAAGAGTGTGAAGTTCCCAGATGGATATGTTTCAAATCTTGGAAGATGTGTTGATATGAAAAAGCATAAATTGTTCGGCATGAAGAGTCATGATTGTCATGTATTTATGCAAAGGCTAATGCCAATTGCTTTTCGAGAGATGTTGCCAGTTAAGGTATGGGAAGCACTAACTGAGCTAAGTCTTTTCTTCAAGAACTTAAGTGCAACAACAATTAAAGTTGATGACATGGCTAGATTAGAAGCTGAAATTCCAATAATTCTTTGTAAGTTGGAGAGTCTACTTGTGCCTGGGTTTTTTAACTCGATGGAGCATCTACCTGTGCATTTGCCTTATGAAGCTAAGATCAGTGGCCCAGCACAATACCGATGGATGTATCGTTTTGAAAGGTAAAATTTATGATGCTTGATAAAAAATAATTTCTCCTTCTTTTTTAATATCTAAGATGTTTCTTTCTAGATATCTACATGAGTTGAAAAAGGATGTGAAAAATAAAGCTAAAGTTGAAGGATCGATTTGCAATGCCTTCTTAGTTCGCGAAGCGTCTAGTTTTTGTTCTCATTATTTCGAGCCACATGTTTATACCCGAAATCGTAAGGTTCCTCGAAATGATGATGGGGGAGGGAGTGAAGACATCACAGATACTTTGTCAATTTTTAAGCATCTTGGCCGTTTTAGTGGAAAAGTGAAGAAAAGAAGGTTGACCGAAAAGGAATACTCAGCGGCGCATACTTACATATTGCTTAATTGTGAGGAGGTTCAACCTTTCATTGAGTAAGATTCAAGTCAAACTCAAAATATATTTAATTAAGTTTTAATGTTATAAATTTTAATACTATTTCTTTAATGATTAATAGGAAGTATGAGCACTTCTTGAAGGAATTTAATCCTGATATAAGTGAAGAAAGTCTTGCAACTCAAGTGGAGCAACACTTTGCTTCTTGGTTTGAGGCTTATGTAAGAGTTTGAATAAAAAAATTATAAACTTGTGTTTAAATTATTACTATATTATCTCATATTGTATTCTTTATATCATAGGCTCGAGAAAACAAAATTGGAAATACATATCTATATGATCTGTCTAGAAGACCATTGACATCAGTGAAATCATATCCCGTGTATTTCATAAACGGGTATAAATTTCACACAGAAGCATATGGCGTTAATAGATCAACAATGAACTATGGTATTTGTATAACTGGAGCATATGGTGACTATTATGGAAAGTTGATGGAAATACTAGAAGTTGAGTACCCAGCTTTGCCACTGAAACGTACTGTGCTGTTTAAATGTGAATGGTATGATCCCACTCCTAACGTTGGAGTAAAAGTTCACAAACAATACAATTTGGTGGAAATCAATCAAAGGAGAAGGTTCAATAAATTTGAGCCATTTATTTTAGCAATGCAAGCTTCTCAAGTTAGTTTTGTGTCTTATCCTACCACAAAACGAGGCAAATCTGATTGGTTTGCTGTATGTAAAATTAAACCAAGGGGGTGGATTGATAGCTCGATTACAGAAACTGGTCACTCAAAAGAAGATGCTTTTCAAGAAGATGAGTGTGAAGCAATTCAAATCACAGATTCTACAGATGAGTCAATTGCTACATTATGTGATTCAAACATTGATATGGATATTCCTGATGGAGATTCTGAAAGTGATGAGGACGTGAATGAATTTGTATCAAGTTCATCCAGTAGTGAAAGTGAAGATGAGAATGATTATAATTCTGATAGTGATTAGCAATATGATCGACAATGAGATAGATATTAGCAACAACATGCCTTTATTGATTATTTTGTTTAATTTATTAAGACATTCATTTACTTATTAAGACATTCATTTACTTATTAAGACATTTAGTTATTTTGAATATTACTTTGGATTATTTTGGTATTATATTTGCTAGGTGGTTCAGTATTTTATGACTTTAAATGGCAGCATATAAACACAAAATGTAGTCATTGCTTGCAGGAAAATGTCTAAGTTGCCACCATCTGGTCGAGGACCAACCAAACGTAAGCGACCAGCAACTCCAGTGGCCAGATTTGTGAGTCGTGTGCCATCATCATCCATTCCATCATTTGGTTCCTCCTCAACTACTCCACCATCATCTACTCCACCATCATCTACTCCATCACTTGCTTCTTCGCCAACTATTCCACAAGTTGGCTCATCATCTACCAGTCCACCATGTGATTTATCCCAATCTACCCCATCACCCAATACCGCCACTCATGTCAGTACTGATACACCTATCTCAAATAATAATTCAGAGCAACCACTACATGTTATTGGGTCTATAGGACCAAATGGCCGTTTGTGCATTGGAGTTAAAAACAAACAGTAAGTGTTAAGTTTATAAAAACATGTTATATAAATAGATTCTATTTATTAATATTTATTCTCTGATAGTTAATGCTTCAAATTATATTTTTTCATTATACAGATTACTTCCTTCAGAAGAATGTTCTCGAAAGATTACTTCTCTTTTCAAGGAAAGGGTTGATCCTCATGGTTACTCATGGGCTAACTTAAGTGAAGATATAATAAAGTTTTATTGGGATGAGTTTAAGGTACCTTTTCAATCATTTATCTTATATTTTGTATTTTTAACTATGAACAATCAAGAAAAGATAATTGGCAGCAAACAATTATTATATTTTAGTTGACTTATAATAAATTTACAATGATTTGTAGAAGCATTGCTATTGGAATCCTATAATGGAATCTTCAATAAAGGCAGCGTGGACTACAAAAGCTAAACAAAGATATTCCAATTATCTCAGTAATATGAAAACAGGAAGATGTCAGAGGAATTCATCAATCACTCAAGAAGTTTGGGATAGTTGGATGACTATGTGGAGTAGTGAAGAATTTCAGAAGAAATCTAATCAAAGCAAAAAAAATAGGCGTCAAGGTGAATTAGAGAAGACTGCCCTATCTACTCATACTAGTGGGGCCATATCTCATGCCAAAGTTGCCAGTCAAATTGTAAGTTGCCTTTGATTTGTTCTATTTCCATGCCACATTCTCCCTAGCTTGTAATTTCTACGATAGTTTGCCAAAGTGTTCAAATTAGCATCACTCGAAGGTTGCCTTCGACTGTGATACCCCCCCCCCCCCCCCCCCCCGTTTTTTTTTAGAGTAGTTTCATATCATAAAATGCAACATCCAATAAGATCAAGAAAAGCAGAGCTATATGAATTCAGTTAACAAAAGATTCTGAATCAATAAGAAGTTTGGGTGTCCATGCAAAAAAAATCCTAAAGTGAGTACTTCGAATAAAGACAACCAGTAAAATAGCCAATGTTGTCTATTTGATTCCTACAATTGGCATTAGAATCCTGAGCATCTCATTGACATTTATGATTTCTGAAGGGTCATTGAATGATGGTGGTGGTTCAACTCCAATGAACACAAAAAGAGCTTTTATTTCATCCACTGAATGATTGAGTTGTATCTGTGTATCCCAATATTTCCCTTAGTGCACACACCTGCTCCCATATCTTCTTCTCACTTATGTCCATGTCCTCACTGGATGATGGTTGCCGTGCATTGTCGTTAGTTTTGGTCACACAATGTTCTGATGGGTGTAATTCTCCTGGTGTATCCGGCTGCTCCACTGCTGCATTTCTTTTTAGATGTTCCTTATCTAAATGATTATATGTGATATGATTATATTTTATTTATTCAACATGTCTAATATTGTGATTCATATGATATTTATTGTTTGATTACTCTAATTCTCTAACATTGTACGTTACAAATGATTAATTATTATGTAGGAAAAGGACTCCGAAACTACGGTGACAAGTTATCAGGTTTTTTTGTATACACATACAAAGAATCACGATGGAGAGACTTTCATAAATGATCAGGCTAAAGAAGTGAATGTAAGTATTTTTTTTAAATATTATTATTTTTTAAACAATTTGCTCTTATATTAATTCAATAAAATATTATAGGATGAATTTGTTTTACGTCGTGAGGAGCTAATTGATATTGGTGAGGAAGTAGATGATGATGAGCTGTTCTATGATGTTGTTGGTGGACCTGACTCAAAGAATAGATTGTATGGAACTGGCTCATATGGTACACAAAATATTCATCGTAAAGCTTCAGAGTACTCTTCTGAAATGGACACTTCATCACCACAATGCAGTAGTGCTGAAATTAATCATTTGAAAGCTGAGGTGGAACGTTTGCAAAAGAACGTGGCACAACAAAAGGAATTTCAACAACAAGCAGAACAAAAGCAACAAAAAACAGATGATGTCATCCGTGCTTTACAAGAGCAGATTGAAACTTTAGCTCGTAATAGGTAGAGTTCTTTTTAAGATGATGGTCGGTTTTAATTAGTCATTTGATTACTAGTATTCTTAAAGATGTAATCACTATTTGAGATATTATTATTGTTACCAGGAGGTTGGACAACCCATTCTTTATAATTTATAATTTTTATTATTATTTGAGACATTACTATTGATATTAATCGTTGTTATGATCTAGTTGTACTGTTGTATGGTTTAAAAATATTATTTTATACAGGTTGCAACAAAATGTAGGTTGTTGTATTTTTTTACAAAATATGTGCAAGAGAAACTTGCAATGAGCATTTATTGTAGTTCGGTCATTAACATCGCAACAAAAATTCATTTCATTGCACTTTTGCAACGGAAATTGCAATGAAAAATAAACTTAATTACGGTTAAATTCATTGCAAATTTGCAACGAAATTTGCAATAATGTATACAATTGTGTTGCAACATTGCAATTGAAATTGCAACTACATTTCCGTTGCTTTTTTGCAACGGAAAAACTCATTGCAATGTTAGCTATGGAAAATGCAACGGAATATGATTGTTGCAAACAAAATGCAATGGAAATACATGTGTTGCATTTTCCGTTGCATATCATTGCAACGGATTGAACCAGCGTTGCAAATAATTGCAAGGACGTGAAATGCAACGGAATTTTGTCCATTGCATTTGTTGTTGCAAAGCACAAATTGCAACGGAAATTGAACATTTTGCAATGGAAATGTGCATTGCAATTCGGCATTTTTCTTGTAGTGCAGTATCTGCCTGAAAGATAGCGGATGTAGTCTATCTTCTGTCATTTTCTGTGTTTATGCAAATAAGGTATGTCATTTCACTTATGTTTTTTATTAAGAATTAATTTTTAATATTAGGTAAATTAGTTAGCATAAAGTTGAATTAATTAGCTAAATTAGTTAAATTTATGATAATATTAGGTAAATTTTAGGTTTTACTTACTTAAAATGGGTTTTAAAAAGGTGGTTAATTAATTAACGAAATAAATTAGTTCAAATTAGTTAACTTAATGCATGATGTTGTATTTAGTTAGAATTACGTAAATTAGTTAAATATTTAGTAATTTATTGCATTTTATAAATTATGATTTGTTGTTAATTAAGTAACGAAATAAATTAGTTAAAATTAGTTAACTTAGTGCATGATATTGTATTTAGTTAGAATTACGTAAATTAGTTAAATTTGTAGTAATTTATTGCATTTTATATTGACAAAATAAATTAGTTAAAATTACTTAACTTGGTGCATGATGTTATATATTTAGTTAGAATTACGTAAATTAGTTAAATTTTTAGTAATTTATTGCATTTTATAAATTATGATTTCTTGTTAATTAATTAACGAAATAAATTAGTTAAAATTAGTTAACTTAGTGCATGATGTTGTATTTAGTTAGAATTACGTAAATTAGTTAAATATTTAGTAATTTATTGCATTTTATAAATTATGATTTGTTGTTAATTAAGTAACGAAATAAATTAGTTAAAATTAGTTAACTTAGTGCATGATATTGTATTTAGTTAGAATTACGTAAATTAGTTAAATTTGTACTCCGGTGACTTTGTAGTCACGGAAATGGGCCGTGACTAGTCCGTGACTACATGTAGTCCCGGACCATTATCCGTGACTAAAGTTAGTCACGCCTGAGAAGTCTCGGATTTTGGTCGTGACAAAGTCCGTGACTAAAGGAGTTAGTCACGGATTTTTTACACTACGATCCGTGACTAAGTCTGTGACTACAACGCTGATATTTTGTAGTGATGTTCAAATTAGAATATAATTTTTAAATCGACTTCCCAATTAAGTGAATAAAATCAAACTGTTTGACAAAAAAATCTATTTCGCAAATCAATTTGAGACAAAAATAGTATAGTATTATTTTGCATTGCATTCATCCACACATCTAGCTATATTACATATGACTCTGTGTAGGGGCAGATCCAGGTGTTGAGATGAAAAGTAATTATATTTTGGCCTAAATATTATCAAGGTGAGCTAAAAATGAAAAACGAAAACATTTAAATTGAAAATTGAAAAAAAAAAACTGAAACTACCCTGGATTCAACAAAGGAGGGGCTTAAAATTGCTATTGCAAAGCATTTGAAAGGGAAAAGAATTGTGGAGTTTATATATGTTGAGTTCCATCGATTAAGAACCTTCAAGAACAAAGAAGATTTTTTTCTATATTAGCTTTTTTATCAAGGTATTTGAACTTGTGTAGTCTCAGCGAAGAATGTTTGAAAAATTAACATCATGCCTAACTCTATCCATGCACATACCATTGTCTTTAATAGCATCCCACACTATAAGATTAATTATACGAGTAAAGCATCTAATGTGGAGATATTTTCCTTCACAAATACTACTAGTTCTTCGAGCCATTCTTTTATGGTATGCACATGCAACGTCATTAGAACTAGTATTATCATAGTTACAGTAAAGAGCTTGTCCTGAATACCTCAAAACTCTAAATAAGGCTCGACTGCTTTACCAATTGATTCGACTTTATAATTAGAAAATGGACAAAATCATATTACCAATCATTATCAATTAAGTGAGCGGTGATACAATAAAGTTTATCCTCTGCGTTGAGGTCCATATATTTCTTTTTATGCATATTCTTTGCAATGAACTCCTAAAAAATGTCTTTCAACTTTAATTTTTCACTCTTATAGAGGCCATAACATTCGCAAGCATTTGTGGTACGTGATGAAATGTGAAACCAGCGCTTCTCTATCCTCAGTCAAGTTCCATTTTCAAATTTCAATCGACCATCACCCTCTTCACCCACATTGTCTCCTACTCTCCTTCCTATAAATACAAATGCATATGAATTCCTTCCCCTTGTTTTTAGCAAGATTATCTAGACTTTTTTTTGAATGATTCTTCACGTTTTTTGAACCATTAACATTACCATCAGTAGCAAAAAATAATCACAAAACTTACATTCAGCCCCAATAAATCCTTCTTCTCGATATTCAATGAAATCTTACCAATATTCCTTTCCCCTTTTGCTCTTCCTGATCATATACTTGAATCCCTCTACGAGCTTTTTCTTTGGGGGCAACCCTTTATACAAATCAACAAAATTGACTCTAGTTGTTGCTTCAGACAATGTTGAGCTATGTTGGTGAGATGAATACACAGGACTTTTGGGGGGTAGGGTTCTCAATTTGTATATGTCTAAATCCATAAAATAGATCATAAACCAGTTTAGAAGTATATGTTGAATATGTTGTTTTGTTGATGACTAACCATGCAGGAACTAAGGATAGACCCGATCTTTAATCATATTTGAGCTACTTGATTAACTAACCATGCAGGAACAAAGGATAAGAACTGGTCTAGTACTTACGATAGTACCGTGCTATATTAAACTTGCCCATAATACTTTCCCATACGTGATTGTATATCCTATAGAATATATCTTTAATATTAATCATATTTGGCTGACCGGAGCTTATTAAAAGATACCAAATATTTGAGAAAGCTTTTTTTACCATGAGTATTCTTACTAATATTAAAGGTCTCGTTTTATGGAAAGGAATCTGTTACATCCGAATTGTGTGTGTGGAAGGAATCTTTACTTATAAATAAGTTATGACCGTTGCATGATAAGAAAGGAAAATTTCCTTTGATATACTTGCCATCTTTGCATTAGTTGATCGAGCTTGTAATATATTTATGCAAAAAGCTTTGTTGCCTTAGAGTGGAATCTTTTTGATAGCATACGCTTTGATTGACCATAAAAAGATATTTTCTAATAAATATTTTGAAAAGTATGTTGACCGTTGCATACAATAGATGCTTGCATTATTGCCTTGTTATGCTTCCTCATATCTCGTATATTATTGGAATGTCAATATAAATGATATATGCCTTTTGCTTGAACATTGAGACATATTGCATAAGGAAGGTAATTCAAAATATCAAGGCAAGTCTACCAAGCTTCTAAGGAAAAGAAGATCAACGGACATCTTCTACCAAACTATATATACTCGAGCAGTATAAACAAGAAGGTGAAGCTGAACTGAGAAAAATACTGAGAAGAATCATTCAAGAAAAGATCAAGTCCTTGGCGACTGAAACTGCCTGCTCGGAGTTCTAGATAGAGTTTCTTCTTTCCCTTTCATATTGTACTTAGACTAGTGAGGCTTAATTGGCTAGAGTAGCTGCCTCGGGTTAAGTGTGTGTGAGAGCTTTGTGACAAAGCTGAGAGGCTCTCTACCCGCAAAGTAGAGATGCATAACTCTTCCTAAGAGAGGATAGAGTTGGGGAGGCTCAAGGGTAGATTAGGAGAATCACTCTTGTAACTCTTTCAAAGGCTTGTTTAGTGAAGTTGTTTAAAATTCCTCCGAGGGAGGTCGAGGTTTTTTAATCCCTTTGAGCCAAGGGATTTTTCCTCGTTAAATTCTTGTGCACTTTACTATTTTGCAATTCCCTCTATCCCACACTAGAACTCGGCGAAAAACTGCCACGGTTCCACACACACACAATTCACCCCCCCCCCTCTTGTGTTGCTAACCGTTTTCATCAATTGGTATCAGAGCCGGTCTTCA